AACCAAAAGTCTTTTCCTGGTTTAGGTGAAAACACAAAGTTCTACAGAACTTCAGTAATGCTCAGAATTCCTATCTTAATACCGTTTTTTCTTGAAACTTCATAGATTTATACCCAAAGTACAATTTAGGTACAACCATTCTATAATATATTTGTTCAAGCATTTCCTTAACTACCAATTATTAATTATGATGGTATTGTCCATGTTGTGAAAGGGTTCTGTGCTATTTTCAGTGTCAGAGTAGTGTGGCACCACAGAAACCAATAAACTGAAGGCCTTTCCATCATGTGAGAAGCTTTTATCATAATAGATATTGCCTATTTGTTACACTTAATCTAAACATCTTCCCTCTAAAGGGAAGATGTTTCCAACATCACACTTCCAGCATCCACAATCTCAGCCCTGGATGCATGCTGATTTTACTCCTAAGCCAGAGAAATTCTTTTCCATAACAGCAGATCTAGTACTCTTAACGACTGTAACTCCCAATATGATTACCTCTGATGGACTCAACTATGGCCCACCGAAAAATAAATTTTAAAAAATTAGGCCATAACATGTTCTTCAGGTGCCACAGGACTTTGCATTGTTTTTGCTGCAAACATGCTAACATGGCTGCCTGTCTAGAAATCCAATGCCATTATATTTGCTTTGTAGAATGTTGTGCAGCTGCCTGGATATTACCTGTGAAGTGATTGATAAACAAGTGACAGAGGCTTCTCCCCCAGACACCCCCCCATCAGCCATGTCGTTCTTTCTCTCCCTCTCCCCTCGAGCAGTTCTCAAATTTTGTTTGGTTTTTTTTAAAAAAAAATCTGGCAAAACAGTGCATACCCCCTACTCAGCTTTCAGAATACTTGGGAGAGAAAAACAGGCAAGTCAAGTAGTATGATCTGGAATGGTATTGTAGCTTTGCTTTGCTTTGACCTGTAATGGTATTGTAGTTAATGTGTTGGACAGGGGCTTGGTAGGTCCAGATTCTAGTCTTCAGTGAGCCATGAAACTCACCAGGTGACTTTGGACCAGTCAGTCTTTTTTTGCTTGCATTGCCTGGGTGTTGTGGGATAAAGAATGAGCAGAGTACGTCACTTAGAAGTCAGTGAAGGAAAGCTGGCATAGAAGTGTAATAAATAAATAACTGGCAGGATAGGGAGCAGCATTCCCAGCTCTTACTTTGGCCTCTAATATTCATAGGCCACCCATATGCCATATTTCTAGCAGATCAAGGGATAAGGTTGCAACCTGTGCCAGATGGGTTTACACTCCCTCTGGAAACACATGTACACAGCTTGGGGGGTGCTCCTGGATTTGTGTCTTAGCTTCAAGCCAGCTGTGCATTTCTTGAGAGGTCTGATCTGGCTCCAGTGTCACATGCCATAGTTACATCTTGGATGGATTACTGTAACATACTCAACATGGGGCTGCTTTTTTAAAGTTTTTGGAAAGTTCAGCTGGTGCTAAATGGCAGCAGCCAAATTGTTAACTGGGACTGGTTACAGAAAACATATAACTTGCCTGTTACAAGAGGTCCACTGGCTGCCAGTCTATTTCCAAGCACAATTCAAGGTGCTGGCTTTAACCTATAAAACTCTAAAACAGCTTGGGCCCAAGCTATCTAAAAGACTGCATCTCTCTGTATGAGCCTGGCCAGAATTAAGATCTTCAGGGGAGGCCTTTCTCTTGGTTCCACTCACAGGTGTGGTTGGTGGGGACACAAGAGAGGGACTTCCCTGTCACTGTTTCCAGACTATGGAACTCCCTCCCATGGGAAGCCAGGCTGGTACAATCTTTGTGGCCCTTCCACAAGCAGGCTAAGACCTTTCTCACCAGGGAGGCTTTTCCTCAGTGACTAGCTGCCTGAGAGGGCTGGGTTGTTGATTTTTCATGGATTGTTGAGGTCCGTTTTTTTAATGTATTTTAGTATTGATTTTATTGACCATTTTTAATATAATACTTGTTTAATTCTTTTGTAGTATTTGTATACTCACAGATTTTAGCTTTTAAATATTGTCTTTTAATTGTTCTAAGCTTCCTAGGGTCCTTTTATGGAGAAAGGGAAGGTAAAAATATTTTAAATACATATAAATAAATAGGCCACCCATTTGCTATCTCTTCTCCTCTCCCCTACACACACAAACACTATGTTTCAAGTGGATAGGATAGCTGCTACCCTGTGATTTTTTCTGAAGCACTTTGAGCAAAGAATAAAATACTGTTGGGGCATGCTTTGAATGATTGTACAAAAATCCCCTGTTTCGATTTGACAAGTTCCAAGTAATATCGATTCCTAGACATTCTGAAAACTTTGACTTAATTCAAACAACATCCATTTGAGTTAAACCAAAATATATCTGTGTGTGCTTTGTAACTTCCTCATGGTATATTATGGAAAAATTGCAAGCATACTCTAAAGACTAACTGTGAAGTTTTCTTAAAAGTTTAGCAGAATGTAAATGAAGGCAGTTGGGGAAAGCTAGAAGAACATCTGCCTTTTTCACCTTTCTATGAAAAATGCACAGGAGTGTCAAAAATAAACACAAGTCATTGGACATGTTCCTTTGTGTACTTGTTCTTGAAAGTCCCTCTTCATCATAGATGCACAGTTCGTTTATTATTTTTTTAAAAGGCTTTAAAATGCATATATGAAACTCTTGCCATAAGCTCAGCAGTCATACTCTGGAGAGGGGGGGAAAGTATAGTGCTGCGCTATGTCTCATTAAGAATTCTGCTCCACCACCTTAAAGTTTGTTTAACAGCCATTCCTCAAGAACCCTGGGAGCTGTAGTTTTATAGAGGGATAGGGATTCTAACAGAGAAGCCTCAGGATGTCATACAACTACAATAACTAGGAATCTTTTTTTTGTGCGGGGGGGGTGGAGGCTGCCACAATTACCAGATGTGTATGTACTAGAGACAGGACTTGCTAGATTATTCACTCCTGTATGAGTTAGCACAAAGGAATCGTGCAACACACTGGTTGGCTACAGTTTGGTCAGCCCTGCAATGTTAATTGTGGACTCTTGCAACTTTGTCAGTGTTAAATAAGGCACGCCAAACTTGAATACCTGGAATTTTGAGATTTCAAGTTGTATTATTTCCAGTCCAGGTGTGAGATAGTTACGAACAAGCTGAGGTGGAGAGATGATCTCAGTGGTTCCCATTTTTGTGACCTGTGAAGGAATAAGCCATTCCACAAAATAAAATCCACCTTATATTCATAAAACAAGAAAGTTACATTTGGCCTTCCAAATTAAAAATGTAAGAGTAATTACAATGGAACAATCTGTTTGATTTTTGAAATACTTTGTATATTCTATTAACTTACAAAATCTACTAATTTATTAACCTCTGCAGCATTATAAGTAGACTTGAATAAAGAGAGGAGGTAGTGTGGTATTTTGTTTTAGTTGATGTGCTTGTTTTCAAATTTAGGTAGAATGGCTCAGTAATGCATTTGTATTTTCTCATTATTTTGGCAGGCGTAATGAAACTAGTCAGTGTGAGAAGAACATGACTCATTATCTCTAACATGAGTGTTTACTAAGTCTGTGGAACAAACGTCTTCTATTCATCCCCCACTTTCCATTTAAGCTGCAGACATAAGTTTTTTAAAGCCCTTATTCATGTTTCCTGGTTTACTAAGTTACTTTGTTTACACATTATTTAGAGCAAATTAAAATTTAGCTGGCTTACTGGAGGTGTAGACAAGAGGTGGGGTAGGAAAGCCCCGCATTTTCGGCATTGTCTAAGGAGATGCTGGCAAACATGCCTTTCTGATAAATAGCAAACTGATTCGGGATTTGTAGTCCATGGGGTAATTACTGGCAAGGAGGAAGCCAAAAGGCCACTGTATTTTACAGCTGGACACACCAGAGCTTTCACTTGCAAGTCCTACATTTTGTTGATTAAATCCACATTATGCAAATGAGAGTTCATGTCTGAAGGCAGCAAATGCCTCTGTTTTACAAATGATGGTTTCCATTACAGTGGATGGTGTCCTTTCTCCACTGGGTTAAGTATCCAGCCACAAGGATACTTGACCCAGTGTATAGAGTCATGTAGATAAATAGATAATGCAAGAGCAATATGTATGCCAAGAACTGCTTCCATTGGTGTTTAATTCCACACAGGAAGTCTGTGCAACTGCATTGTGGTTATTGTCCCACAATTCCTATCACATTCTGTCTCTCCCACCCCCAGTTCATTTCTTCCATGGAGATTCCTTCTTTATGGAATGGAGAAAATACCTGGCACTGAGACTTTTAATCATCTGTGTTTCTCAGTTTTCTTTTTCTTCCATTTTCCAAATCCACTTCAATGGGATACTATTATGTACAATATTTGTTGTATAATTCAAAGCCAAATGGAATCCCAAAGTTATTGCTTCCAATATTTTCAGAAGAACAGAGGATGTTAAAATGAACAAACATTATTTAAACTAACAATAGTTTGGCATGCTATTTTTGTTCTGTAGCATCAATATTGAAATACATTTTACTCTAGAGAGAAAGGATTGGGGAATCCCTGCTGATTCCCTATAAAACAGTAGATAAACAAAGGTAAAGGTAAAGGTTCCCCTTGACAATTTTTGTCCAGTCGTGTTCGACTCTAGGGGGCGGTGCTCATCCCCGTTTCCAAGCCATAGAGCCAGCGTTTTGTCCGAAGACAATCTTCCGTGGTCACATGGCCAGTGCGACTGAGACACGGAACGCTGTTACCTTCCCACCGAAGTGGTCCCTATTGATCTACTTACATTTGCATGCTTTCGAACCGCTAGGTTGGCGGGAGCTGGGACAGGCGATGGGCACGCACTCCATCGTGTGGATTCGATCTTACGACTGCTCGGTCTTCTGACCCTGCAGCACACAAAGGCTTCTGCGGTTTAGCCCGCAGCGCCACCACGTCCCTAATAAACAAACTATTAGTATATTTGTTTTTCTCTTCTCTACTTTTTTATAAAACTATTTAAGTAGTCTGTTATTCTGCTTTTCTCCTCTCAGGTTGTTGGAGTTGTTAGCAAAGACATAATCCCGAAAGGAACACGCTTTGGACCCTTGGTTGGTGAAATCTATACCAGTGACACAGTTCCTAAGGATGCAAACAGAAAATACTTTTGGCGGGTAAGCAAAGAAAACAAATCAGTCTTAACACAAATTGAAATGGGCAGTTTTTTGCCGTAAGTGTAGTCTGGGGGGTCACATACACTGGGACAGAGGCATAAAGAGAACGAGGGAGAAAGAGCAAAGATTGTTTAAAACAGCCCGCTGCAGAAGGGAAATAGTATAGGCGAAGATCACTCGAGTAGGCAGGTCGAAGCTTCTCAAGTGACTCCTCTTGAGGTCGCTTCTTCCCAGGCACCAATAGTGATGGCGGAGACCAGTGCCAGAATAGCAGTCTTTTCAAAGCTGCAAAAATGCATGGGGCTCCCTCAGAGAATCATACAATCATAGAATAAATTGGAAGGGGCCTATAGGGCCATCAAGTCCAACCTCCTGCTCAATGCAGGAATCCAAATCAAAGCATATCTGGCAGATGATTGTCCAATTTTCTTTTGAATGCCTCCAGCTTTGGAGCACTCACTACCTCCTAAGGTAATTGGTTTCCATTGTCGTACTGCTCTAACATTTAAGAGATTTTTCCTGATAGTAAACCTAAATCTGGTTTCCTGTAGCTTGAACTCATTATTATGTGTCTTGCACTCTGGGATGGTCAAGAATAGATCCTGTCCCTTCAATGCATGACTACCTTTCAAGTATTTGAATGGCCATTCCCCTAATGGAAATGCATCACCAAATCAGCAACATTTAAAAAAAAAAACCAAACCAAAACAAAAATAGCTCTGTTTTGAAATGTATTATGGTGCTGAAAATTGGTGGAAAGAGATTGATCTAGAAGCCTAACCGTGTTTTGGAGTTATTCATCATGCAATTATCATGGGGGAGAGAAATCTCTCCTGCTGCGTCACTAATGTCACACACTTCCACATCTTATGGGTGGGGAGGTCTAAAGCAAGGAACCTATGCATAGTTCCCTAGTTATTTTATTGTATTTTATTTCATTAATATCCTACTTCACCCCTAGAAATAGGACCCAAGTCATCTGAATAAGTAGACTTAAAAAGACAAATCATCATAAATGTTGAAGTATTATTACACCAATTATAATATTACAAACAGATTGGATTAAAAGTCATTAAAATATTTTTAATAATAGTAATACTAATTTCAAAAGATAATAGAAAAGTACAACAAATTCTTTAAACCACATGGGAAGTGTCAGGGATGAGCAACTAGGGGTGCCACAGCCCTGCCCATATGATACAGATGAGTGCTGTAATAGGCTCTGTGTTCACTGAAATACAAGTGAATGCATGGAGAACAGGGAAGTGTCATTTTAATTTTGCCCTTCACATTATTGTAAGATCGTTTTTAAAAAGGTCTGTTGATTTGTACACTGCCATGTATTTACTGCTGTTGTATACCATGTCATTTACTACTACAGTGATTCCAGAAAAGTTCTAAATGTTACTTTGTAATATTGCTCAGCAGTTGATTAAATCTCAACAGTTGATTAAATGACTAATTACTTTTTGAAACACTTAACGTTTTCAATAGACCAGTTCCTTTGTATCCAGTTTCAGTTATAGAAATTAAGAGGGCCACTTCCTAAAATGCCACCAAGCCTGCTATCTCAGGATGTCCCTGTATAATAATGTGGGGGCACAGGGAAACAGCACTTAATGCTAGGTTTGGACACACATTCACCAGAGAGCTTTGAGACAACCCATTGACTCTCAGTTTACCTTAGAGAGTTGTTGTGAGGTCAAAAATGTATTGGGGGGGAAATAGAACTACAAACATGCCATATAAATAAAATATTCAGTCATCACATGCTGTATATAATATTTGCACTTTGATGACTCATGGAATTCTTGACAGGTTTTTTTTGTGAAAAAACAAAAACTAGTTGTACAAATAAAACCCAAGCACATTCTGAGATATCATATCATAAAGGCTTTCCTGGAGTGGACTGTTTCAGACCAGAAAGGGAGGATTTCTCTGCCCATCGAATACTACCACATCAAATAGAACAGCTAACCACCTAGTTAGTCTTCTCTACTTTTCTATGATAGAATATTCAAATACAATGGTGCCTTGACTTATGAACTTAATTGGTTACGGAATTCCAGTCATAACTCGAAATGGTCTTAAGTCGAAGCACCATTTCCCATAGGAATGCACTGAAACGCAATTAATCCGTTCTGGCCGAAGGGGGGGAAAATCACAAAAAAAACCCTACTGCAAGCAAGACCCATCAGAAACGTGATTAATCTGTTCTGGCTGAAAGGGAAAAAAAAGAAAAGCCAACAAACCGTGCAAGACCCTTCGGAAATGCAAAAAAAGCAAAGCAAAAAGCAAACAGAGAGTGCAAGACCCATCGGAAACGCAATTAATTCATTCCAGCGGAAGGAAAAAGAAAAGCAAATAAACCCTGCAAGACCCTTCAGAAATGCAAACACCCCCCCAAAAAAAGAAACTTTGCAAGACCCATCACAGCATAGAAACACAATCCCATCACCTAGCCCAAAACCATTCTGCAAAACCCACCCAGAACTGTTTTTAAAAAGCAGAAAGCAGCACGTTACCTTACGAGGCAGTCCGAAACCTCCTCCGATCACACACTGTCTTAACTGCTGGGGCGAAAGAGCTACAAAGAAGCAGCCTGTTTGCCACTAACAGTTAGCAATTTGAATTCTCCGCTTTTCCCCCCTTGCCCTTTTCCGTTCATAACTCGAAGCTCTGGTCACAAGTAGAAGCACAATTTTGCAGCCAGAATTGGTTGTTATTCAAAATGGTCGTATGTCAAGACATTCATAAGTCGAGGCATCACTGTATGAACACATACAAATATTTCAGAACTTGTGAAACTTGGTACACAGAGTGAAAGAGGATATGTTAGCTCTGGGGTTTGTTCTTGTGCCTCTGTGGCCAAAATCCAATTTATGTCTCTGTAAATAAAATCTTTTAGTCATAGCAGCGAATTACCACTAAATTAATGGGATGAGAGCTGCATTCCAGGTTATGTGCCCATTGGGCACACAACCAGGAAATGGGCACATAACCAGGAATGCGATGAGCACTTTGGCAATGAGTTTGCTTCAGCATAAGCATGTATGTCAGTCACCAACAGGATTCTGGCCAGGGTGTATGACACACACATACTACAGCTGAATGTGAATCAGTGTTCTTAAGTAGAATAATTGGGATTCAGATGCTGCTCAGTTAGAACTAGTCTTGGAAGAGGATTCTGACTACCTAGAAAGATGTTATTGCAGACTTTCAGTAAGAAAACTGTCATCATGCTTGAGTTATTTGTCTTCTGATAACACTCAGTAAATGGTGGTATAGATTTTTTTGTTTCATATTGACTTAAGAAGAAAATATTCTTTCCTAAGAGCCCGAAAACAGTCTTGCACATGCAAAGGAAATTGTAGAAAATAATTTCCCACATGTCATATAAAAGATATCCCAGTCTAACTGGCAGGAAGAGGAACATCTGTTGTTTGTAAGCGTACATGTTCTCTTCAAAATATACCTTCTTTAAAAAAAAAAGAGGCACGAACATGCTGTGCAAACTCCACGGTGATGTTATTTCTTGTAATTGCTCACTATGACTCAGCACATTTTAAATCTTCCTTATGATGAATGGAAATCTGGTCAGGTGACAAAATAAAGTTTTATGATAGGCCATGGGAGCTCACTGGAGGAAAGCATTTTTTTTAAAAGACAGAATACAGTAAATTGTATTAGCACTGAAAGGTGACTGGAAAGCACTTTATCTGACCTCAAAAAGTAGCTTCCATTTGTTAGAGAAGTACGCAGCAGTGGAACTCTTTAGTTCCTGGAAGTTTGCAAACTGGAAGTAACAGACTCCTCCTGAAAGCACAATTCTTCAGGCTTTGTTCCATCTTTCTCATAACAAGAACACCGCAAAATCTCTCAGGCTTCTTTGATGAACCCACATGTATTTCCTCGGCCTCAAATGACAGGAAGTAAGAAAGTGAGTCTGGTGTTTACTGCATGTGTTAAAAGGCTAGCTTTGTTGCTGTACTATTTTTTTAATGCCTTCTCAGTTGATTCTTACATGAAACAGCATTCAAATGAAGCTGAAGCTTAAATTGCATAATAAAAAGCACAGTGGGACATGGTGCGGGTTGCATTTGGACAACAGAAAACCAAATCAAATCCTTTCCTAGCTGTGACACTTAACTGGGTGGCCTTCTGGAAATCGCTCAACTGACTGCTGAAAATAAATTGAAATAATGAAGTATATTGCCATTTACCCATAGTTTTGGAAACAATACAGGAAAGAAAATTTTTTTTGTTTGATTGTGGTGATTTGGGGAAACATAACAAGACCTACAGGTTCTAGAAAATATGCCATTTCCCTCCACATGATAAACTGAAAGCTTTTATTCCCTGAGAAGAACAAAATGTTTGTTCTACCCAGCATTCCATGGGTGCAGGGTTGTAAAGAGCTTTCTTTACTCATTTTCCTAATTTCAGGGTCATTTTGGGAAACAGAGATATGTGAAATCACTGCATTGCGTATTCTTCTGTCATCTGCAACAGAGCCACATTTTCTTGAACGTGCCTATTGAGAAAGGAAGGCATTTATCTTACTGTCATAATCTGGCCTCCTTCCAAATTTCTACTTAGTTATGACATGTATTGTACAGTTCTTCTTACTCCACCCAGTCGTTCAACAAAAGGGCTCCATTCCAGGTAGGAGCAAGTGTTACTTCAGGACTTAGGGTGGTGGATGTTTGCATATTTAAAACTTGGGTGGTGGTAGCAGGAAACTACAAGTGCAAAGACTACAGTATTGAGATGGGGGAAAACAAGTAAGTCTTAAGTCTTGGTTGTGACATAACAAGGCTAATCAGTCTTTACAAAAGTGACTCACCATATTATTAGTAGCACACAGTGAGTTGATAATGCCACTCGCTCCTTGATGAGCAGTCCTAAAGTATACATTCTTAAAGTAGAGACACTGAATGCTGAAGTAAAGTAGTATTTCTTTTTCATTTGAATGCTGTTGCAAATTAAAGAATTAGTTACACAAATAACAAAAAACAACAACACCTGATTTGTAACTTTCTAATGGTGTAGTTAAGGTATTGCCTAACCCAGAACTTTGCTTCTCTGAATGGATCCTATGACTGTCTTTCAAGCAAGGTTGTTTCTATTATTGCCTTTCACAGTCTCCTCTTTCCTGCAGATTTATTCTGGTGGTGAACTCCTGCACTTCATTGATGGATTTAATGAGGAAAAGAGCAATTGGATGCGATATGTAAACCCAGCTCATTCCGCTCAGGAGCAGAACCTGGCTGCTTGTCAGAATGGAATGGACATCTACTTCTATACCATTAAACCCATCCCACCAGGCCAAGAGTTGCTTGTGTGGTATTGTCAGGACTTTGCAGATAGGTTGCACTATCCTTCTACTGGAGATCTGGGGATGATGAATATCAGTAAGTAGATTATAAGCATCCTCACCTGCAAACAAAACATCCTAATTACACATCCTTCAGCAATGGGGTCTGACTGATATGGTGCATAATTATGTGAATGAGTCATTTCTAATGCCAACACAGATTGCAGTAGAAGGCATTTTAAAGAGAAAAGATACCCTTCTGATTAAAAGCACTACAGCTTGGCATGAGAAACAATCATGTCTATATAGTGTTGGGGAACTTTGGCTGCATGGCCACCTGAACATTCAGTTTTGTGATTTTGTGAGGTTGTCCATCTTTTGTTCCCACGCTGCCAATACAGTTTTTGTCCTATCAGACTGTAGGAACTCACAAATGATTATAAACATGCCAGGTAGAAAACTTAGGCTAAAAATGATAAACAACATTTTTAATATAGTGGTATAGTTCTCATACCTCCATGACAAGCAATTGGAGCTACTGGGGAAATCTATAGACATTATTACACAGGTGATTTTTTTTTTAAAAAAAAAGTGGTGATACTGTAATATATTTGCTTTGAGAATTTGAGTTGGGAAGCTGGGTTTTCTTAAAATTCTTCTATGTCAGAAGGATTCTATGTCGTTTTCATTCTATTTTTCCTAAATTTGTATTTGCAGAATCAGTTGTCTCTTGTTTCATATCATAAAATTGTTGTAACATTGGCTTTTCCTCTTTTAATATGGCCCGTATCCTGTTCAAATTACAGTGTGGGCGAGGGGAATTACCAAAGTGGCTTTGTCTGTGCGCTGTGGTCCGGTTACATATGTGCTCATGTGAACAGAAACCTAAGCCATGCATGTGACCAGTTCCCACCATATAGCCACAGCCACTGTGACGATTGATCAGTTTGTTGCACAGTGCATTTATTAAATTCATGGTCACAGAGTATGCTGACAGTCATTAACTTAAATGGCTTTTTAAAACGATCAGATAACTTTACGCATGGAGGATAAGTCTGTTGTTAATGGTTTTTAGCCATGATATCCAAATGAAACCTCCATAGTTAGAGGCAATGTGCCACCAACCATGACTGTGTTTTGGGAGACAGCAACAGGAGAGAATATGGCTTTTGAGGTGTCCTGAAGTGTCTGTGTTGAAACAAGATACCAGATTAGACGGATGTCCTATTCTGATCATGTAGGACTCTTCTTCAATTCAGATCTGTGTTTAGCTTATGAAGTTCATTAGGTGTTGCTAGGAAAATCAATCTATTGGTAGCTTATTTTGCCAGGTTGTTGAGTGGCTGAAATGTCACTCTTGAATTCCTTAGAGGAAAGACGGATAATACCTCAGATCAGTTGAGGCTGGAGAATAGCAGTGCTGGACTTATCGGTCATTGCTACTGTGCTTCAGAAGCCAATTAAAATATCAGCATGTAAATGTATTTAGCCCAACTGACTGCTGTGCAACTAACTAACTAACTAACATGCAGTGTCCATGGAACAGTAAACGTGAACCACATATTCAGTCAAATGTTCCCTATGGAATATGAAAATTCTCCGTGCAGCAGAAGCTCCTTGGTTTCCCATAACCAACAGCAGACCACCCAGCACATGCAAGGGCCTTGTTCATCATGGTCAAGCTCTTAAGCAGACTTGACTCAGAACATGCATGATGATCCATTTAGAAATAAATTATGATGTCATGTCATGGTAAATATTAGTCTCTATTCCTAACTTCTGTGGAAATCGTTTTTACTTCGGAACTTCTAGGTTCTCTTTCTTCTAGCAAAACAGGTGTCTTATTTAGAACAAAAAATGTGAATCAGCATTATTAAAATTCATCACTCAAAATGTTCAGCAGCATTGACTCTAGAAATGACTTTGTACACCCACAGCTATTTTTGAAGTCTCAAGGGAAAGAATTAAAGTAAAATCTCTCAGGCAGCTAGCAGGGGATACGCAAAGAAAATGGTTTTTCAAGCTAAATTCAAGGAGATCATTACATTGCCTTGCTAGCTGCTGTATAGCTATGCTGGTATAAATGCTCACTGGAGTGAGTGCAATGTGTCATGAAAACATAGTAATCTTGAGGTTTATATATAGCTATCATCTTTTCAGTTACATAGAAAAACTAAGAGGAAAGTGCCCAATTTCAAATTAGTAGCTTTAACCTTTAAATCCCTAAGTGGGTTGAGGCCACGTTACCTGAAGAAACACCTCCTTCCATATTATTTACCTGTGCAGACACTAAGGTCTTCATCTAACACTCTCCTCCACGTGGCACTGATAAATGAGAGATGGGTGATGGCAACAAGGGAGAAGGCGTTTTGAATGGTGCTATCCTGCCTGCAGGATGCCCTTCCTAAAGTGGCTCACCTGGAGCCTGTGCTATGACCTTTTCTGGCAGCAGATGGAGAATCTTTGCTAGTGATTTTGTATCAAAGACCTTCAGCTTTTTATAAAATTCCCTGCTGTTTTTTTAATTTTTTTATTACGGCATTACTGTTTGGTCCCTCCAGTTGTCATTATTGGATTGTATATTTACAGTGCCCAGATAATTTTCTTTATTGGATGGTTTCAAAGTACGTTAAACAACAACAACAAAAAAATTGTATGTGCAAAATAAGGCAAGGCCTCAATGGAAACTAGTTAAATTTCGTTCTGAAGTCAGCAGTGGTGAACCTTTCTACCAAGATATTTAAATTCCTCTTAAATATCGTGCCTCTGTGGAAAAGAAGGCCATTATCTCTCTTAGAATAGTTCCATCAACCCCAGATTCATCCCCCAACTTGTAGCCTTTTGTAAAGTTAGATGCTTGAGTGAATTGTCCTTTCATCTCCCGCACTACATATATAACATGCTGGGAAATCAATGTTACATGCTTGCATATCACAAAATCACTTTTTTGTTAAAAATCTGTATCCATATTCATACCGTGATGTATAATTATTGACTCCTACTTTCCCACCACAAAAAAAGGAGGGGTGAGATAGCTTGTGCAGATGAAGGCTTGTGCTCCTAGGATATATCCGTATACAAGACTGAGCACAGAATATATTATAGGCAAGGAATATGTACAGACTCAAAAGACTTCCATGCTTTGCTGAATGCAAAGTGTGTACTCTGGACCACTGTGTGTGGACCAGTGAGAAGGAGTTCTGGTTTCTATAACATAGCCAATAGTACTGACTTTTCCTGTGTGTTCATATTTTTTAAAAAAAACAACAACATGAGTAATCATTTTAGCTTTCCATCTGCCTGATAAGACTCCATAAGATGGCTTCTTAAGCATATGAGATGGTAGTATTTGTTGAGCAGGCATCCCAGTTTCCAACACTGTGACCACTACCCAGGCCTTCCTGTGAAGTTGGAAAGTGGCATGCAAGGTGTCAGTTTCTAGTGCGAACAAAACAAGGAGGAGGACCTGCTTATTGTGTGCAGGCAGCTGCTGCATCCCTTCAAGAAAATAAGGAAGAGCAAAAGAGAAAATTCTTACTGTATGTACAATCGGAGTAAGGATGTTGATTTGTGACTAACAGACAAAGCATCCCTTTGTGTGTCTCCTTGATAGTTGTGTTGTTCACTCATGAGTGCAAGATACTCAGGCACCTGTGAAGAGTGATAAATATTTATTTGCATGAGGTGGGCAGGAGGAAACAATTCCTGTCTCCTTAGAAAGTCCAGTGTCAAGTGCCACGGATTTTTAATTGAATATTTTGAGGGTACTGATATACAATATGCTAACATAGTAGAAAAGCAAACTGGTATTTTGTGGGTCTTCAGTCCCTCATACTAGTATAGCACATTGAAGACACAGTTTAGATATGTAACACACATGTCCTTTGGAGGGGGGTTGTGTTGTTTTCTTTTCTTTTTACTTCATAGTACTGCACTCCCAGTATGTGTGTAATGTAAAGATGTAAACAGGTAGAATAATTGTCTTTCTTTAAAGTTTGGGATTACAAACCATACAGGTTGTAGTAGAAGCACATACGTATATAAAAAGAGTGTATATAAAGAGGCTGTGTGTCTTGTTTTCTCACCACTGAAACACACTTAGAAGGGGAGACCGGTCATACCAACCCAAACTTGTTTCAGCAATGTATGTGTAGCAGGAAAAGGTTATGCAGACCTGAAATATTATGGGATAGAATTAAGCACATGGTAAATATTTCTGCATATCTGTTTCTACTGTAAATTGTGAAGGCATACTTAAAACAGGCACATAGAATTAAGCTTACTATGTAGACAGATGGAAAACAAAGGAAATTCCATTTTCCTTTGATGAATCATTTAGTTCCACAAAAGCAGCGAAGGGAGTGTTCATTTTCTATAATTTTAAGAAAAAAATCTCTTATGATAACTGGAATGGTTGAGGAAGCTTTAGGGCTAACAAAAATAGCACTTCCCACCAAAGAACTTTAGCTATGAAAAAACAAAACAAAACTACAAATAAACATGTAACTTAATATACTGAAACGTTTATTTTGTGCAAAATACACCAATCTCCATATATACACAAGATGATACCAGCCAAATACGGTATTGCAAAATGATAATGTTTGCAAATAATTTAACCAAGTTGGTTTAGATATTCTGCAGTGATACAACTTTACACCATTCAGTAGTGAACCAATATGAACGTTGTTGAAACTCTAATTCAGTGGATGAAATCCAGTTGTAACTTGCAGCTAGACTCATCAAATTCCCACTGATGCAATGAGCCTGTTCTAATTGTGACTTACTACTGGATGTCAGCCAGTTACAGCTACTGAACAGTAATGAACTGCTGATCAGATTGAAGAAAGGGTTTTATCTAGGTTTCTGAAAGTTATCCTTCCTCTGAAAACGGTGTCCTGAAAATATATGAAGCCAGGTAACTGGGATTTCATATTTTGTATGACTGGATATTATTCATTCCCATGTTACGTTTCAAACAGAGGAATGTGTTTAAATCTTCTCCTTGTGTCACTGTCGCTTCTTCCCATGTTATGACGTGCAATGCAGCTATCTGGGAAGAGATTAAGACCTTGGAATACATTGGTTTGAAAACCAGGAAGAGGACTGTATGAGGAGTAATTCTGAGAACTAGCTTTCTCCAAAAGAATTCCCTTGTGACCAAGAGCTATTTTGATAATTTTAAAATAGATCCAAGTGTTCTGTAAACAATTTAATCCCATATTTAAGAAAGCAATTATGAAGGTGGAGACAGGAATAAATGGAAAAGCAGGACACTGACCAGGCTCATTATCCAAGGTTTAATTAGTAGTTACTGACACGTATTCGCCTTGTGCTTGACCTGGTCCTTGTCATCCCACTAATGTTTCAATGCTTAAGATTTACCTCATTTGTAAGAAAAGGGGGCAATAATTAAGGTGGTTTCAAAAGGTTTCTCTTTAACAGGAACTTACAATTTACATAGGTAAGTTTGTGTGTTCTTAAACATATTTCTGTTGTCTTGAAACATTCACTGCCTTTTTTTGTGTGTTTTTCCAGCTCAAAGCCATATTAACCCAAAGCAGCAAACCAGTGACAAAGAGGATCTTAATCAGAAAAATGTTCCCAGAAGAGAACACAGTGTGAAGGAAATCCTGAAAACTGATTCTACTAATCCTAGAGGAAGGGACTTATTCTATAGTCACATTTCTCCTCAAGAAAATGACTCAGAAAGCATGAGAAAAAATTGTAGCCCTGAGAGGCCCTTCTATCCTCGAATTGTCTACCCAATCCGACCTCATGTTCCAGAAGATTACCTGAAAGCCTCCCTAGCCTACGGAATTGAGAGGCCTAGCTACATTGCCCACTCCCCAATCCAGTCTTCAACCACACCAAGCCCTTCAGCAAGAAGTAGCCCAGACCAAAGTTTGAAAAGCTCAAGTCCTCACAGCAGCCCAGGAGTTACAGTTTCACCCCTAACATCTCTTACTCAAGAGCACAGAGAACCTTATCCTTACTTGAATGGACTCTATAACTCAGAAGGATTGGGGTCATATCCTGCATATGCACCCTCGAGCCATCTCCCGCCAACCCTTCCCTACCCCAAATTCTTCTTGCCACCCTATGGTATGAGCATCAACAATTTCACCCTCTTTCCAAGTGTGTATCCTTTCTACAGCAGCTTGCTCAGTGGAGGAAGCATTTCTAATCACATGTTGAACTCATCCTCTCTTCCAAGTTCGCTGCCCTCTGATGGGAGCCGCCAGCTTTTGCAACCCAACCATCCAAGGGACTTCCTCATTCCAGCACATAACAGTGCCTTCTCCATCACAGGGGCTGCTGCTAGCATGAAAGATAAGCCATGCAGTCCAACCAGTGGATCACCCACAGCGGGCACAGCAGCCACATCAGAACACATCATGCAACCTAAACCTACCTCGGCAGTGTTGGCTGCCACCAGCAGTGAAGAAGCCATGAATCTCATCAAGAGTAAGCGAAACATGACTGGTTACAAAACTCTTCCATATCCACTGAAGAAACAGAATGGGAAAATAAAGTATGAATGCAACGTCTGCTCCAAAACATTTGGCCAGCTCTCTAACCTGAAGGTAAATCTTTAAAAGAAAAATAATTTCTAGACAGTTCTTATGATTAACCACAAAATCTTTTTGCTGCCTTAGGAAGGCCTGCATTTCTTCGACTTGATAAAGAACTTGCTTTCTTCTGGGCATTATAGTCACCCACCTACCTTTAAGGCACTGTATTTTGGTAATGTAACTTTTCCTACATGCAATGTCTATGATTTTGCATCTTTAAAGATCTGAAGATAATCACACAGGAAAAAAGGCATTCCATGAGGGCTTGGTTTGTAATTCTCTGCAGCAGTTCAGCAAATCAGGTGTGATGCGACTGCAGCAGGCCTATTGAATTAGAACTTACCTAGATGTTGGCTTATCATATCCCCACTGATTCAGTGGGTCTGTTCTAGTTGCAACTTAGTACTGGTTTTCAGCCAATGTCTTAGAACATTTCTGTTTTTATCACTCTTTTATAATGGCTGGTATTTTAGGTACTCAATAAGTACATAATAATATTTTATATGCTATTTTAGCTGCTTTTGTAAGACTGCATTTTTTAAAAAAATAGGTTCATCTTCGAGTACACAGTGGAGAAAGACCATTCAAGTGTTCTACTTGCAATAAAGGGTTCACACAACTGGCACACCTCCAAAAGCACTATCTGGTACACACAGGAGAAAAGCCCCATGAATGCCAGGTACGTAGCAATTCATATAGAATGACATCTTGACTTTAGTGCAAAAATGTGTTGTATGTACATAAAGGAGATCTGATGACACAGCTTCATCACTACTTGCTATCAGTTCCCACTACTCAAAACATGAAGTGTTACTCAGTTTTTTAACAACTGGGTTTCCTTTTAGAAATAGCAAATGTCACATGATAAATTGATCTTTGCAGCAGAAAGGTTTCCTGGGGTGAAAGTCCTGTGATTAATTCCTGGCTGCTAAATGTCTGAAAGATGGGGTGTTGAGTCATTCTTTAGTCATCCACTATTCATCATGGATTTAATACATTCCATTTTAAATGAGAGATGTATGTGATCATTTATGTTTTTAGAGGGTGGCACTTTTTTCATTTTTCTGAAAAAAATGAAAATTTAAAATCAGACTTCTCCTCCTTCAATATTTTCATTGCGTTTTCCCTGATTAGGTCTGCCATAAACGATTCAGCAGCACAAGCAACCTGAAGACCCATTTGCGGCTCCATTCCGGAGAAAAGCCTTATCAGTGCAAGCTTTGCACTGCTAAATTCACCCAGTTTGTGCACCTGAAACTGCACAAGCGGCTGCACACCCGAGAGCGCCCGCACAAGTGCATCCACTGCCATAAGAGCTATATCCACCTCTGTAGCCTCAAGGTCCACTTGAAGGGCAACTGCCCCGTCATCCCTGCATCTAACCTTTCAACTGAGGACCTGAATCGGATCAATGAAGAGATTGAGAAATTTGACATTAGTGATGGTGCAGACCGGTTGGAGGATGTTGAGGACAATGTAGACATGACTTCTGTGGTGGAAAAAGAAATCCTTGCTGTGTTTAGAAGAGAGATTGAAGGAGCCACACTTAAAACCTCATTGCAGAGGAGCCTGGGAAATGGGCGTGTCTCTTCTGGATGTAATCTTTTTGAATCGCCAGATACGTCCTTTGTGAAGTTGCCTCATGGTCATCCACTACCTCGGGGACCTATAAAGGTCAAGCAAGAAACAGTTGAACCAAGAGACCCTTAAATGCTGTGGGATGTGTGTGTGAATGTAGATGGATGAGAGTGTATGTGTGCACCTTTGCATACTTATGGATTTGTATGTGCGACAGAGAAATGATTCTTTTTTTTCTTTTTCTTTTTTTTTTAATTTATGACTTGGCAAGTCAGGGTGCCTGTAGCAATTGCTTGTACATAGTGTCAATGCTGCAAAGCAACCTTGGCTTATTGTAGTTTCTCTAAATCCAGTTAAAAGAAGGAACTCCAAAGTTGTTGAATTCTCAGGGCATAAAACAAGGCAAGGACTGTGTATTCTGCCTCCCTTAACTTCCAAAAAAGACAATCTCTTAATCATTTTCCAGTAATAGTACTCCATAATTTATTATGCAACTAACCATTCAAAAAGCAATAGATAGAAAATATTTGCAATGAGAGAAGCAATCATTGTACGTTTGGATATAAGTGTTCTCCCCTCCCACCTCCCTGCCTCATCATCACCTTGCAGCCATCCTACACATCTGTTGAACAAGACAAGGAGAGAAAAAACCCTGACATGGCTGCCAGTGGGGAAAATGTTACATACCTGCTTCAGAAATGAGGTTTTTGTTTTGCCAAAGGTAGATCCTATAAATCCCTTTAGATGGAACTGTGGTGAACCAAGTGGCTTTAAGTAGGAAATTACACCAAAATATATGCTGCAGTCAGAGGTCATGCTGGAACATAGACGGATGAGAGATTTCTGCCTATGTAGTTCTTCCACATCTAAGATGACTAGGAAAATTAAATGCTCTGCCAGAAATCATGTATAAAAATTCGGGGGTGGGGGTGGGAGATTATTCTTCCTTAATTTTAAAATACTGTTTTTCAAATAGTTATGCATCACAACATTTTGAGCAGTAGAATGTCTCCTACCACCACCAAACTGTTTATTACTCCAAACATGCTGCCTGCAAAGTAGGGTATTACTGGGGGCGGGGGTTGCCAGTAGAGCCATATGGAAGGATCTGATTTCCAGATTCCATGGGGAACATATGACAGATTTATTTTCTGCCTGTTCCCCTTCTGTCTATTGTGTTTTCCTGGCTTTAAAAAATCCCTAACAAAGTCCTTTCTTAGTATACTCACATGATACTCTTTCCTTCATCTCTCTCCCCCCCCCCAACCATTTTCTCTATGACTCAAGATTTCTCTCAGTATTTGTACATTTTGTGGTTAATTTAATTAAAGATGAAGAGGGCATTGCAAAATAGCTGAACAACAGTTACCTCATTGAGTGTGTCCAGTGATATAGAAAATGCTGTTTTATCTAATGCTTTGCTACTTTAGAGAACAAACCAAAATGCGCAGAGGAGAAGATGGCATGCACATTCTTTTCTTTTTGTAAATCTTTTTCTGTTTTGTTTTGTTTTGCTAAGCCCAAAGATACCATGTTGGCATATAAATTGTAGCAAAGAATACATGTATATTTATAGATATTTATACCAATCTGCCGTTTGCGTGCATGCATGTGCGCATATATTTTTATACCACTTAAGTTTGTGAGCCAAACTTTATAAGATAATGTTTTACCTAGTTTGCATCACCCTCCCAAAGACAGAAATTATCAGCCTCAAACCCAATCAGTTATTGATAAACATGCACACAAATAGGAGAATTGATCCCGCACACTCTTACTGACATAAACAAGCTGATTTACTTATTATTTCTATTTAAAAGAAGAAGCCCAAAGAATTATGTGAAGATTCTGTGGCAGAGTCTTTTATTCTTGTTCAAGATGAGGAGAAAAGAAAACCCCACAATCCAGATGTTTTTAACAGAACCAACAAGCTGTTCTCAACTGTTTATGGTATGAATATTATACAGAATTGTAAAACTAAGGTGAGCTACTTGAGGTGGTTCAGGAAGTCTGCTGTAATATCTTGTTCTTCTTAAAAGATGTATTATATACGTGCAACAGAGAAGAACCAGTATTACACACACTTCTCCATGATGTGTATATGTATTTGTATCTCATAATAGTCTTAAGAAGTTAGACAGTTTCCAAAATGATATAACTATTCTAATATCTTCTTATTTGGATCATCAAATACATGTATGGTTCAAAAGTAGCCCAAGAAATATTTTAAATAAAGCTTTTGAAGGAAGGATTTACAGTTCATTACATTTCTGCTCCCGTAAATTGTGAGGCAAATATGTTTAAATGTAGCAATGTTTCATAAATGTAGGACTTCATTGTAGGATAAACCAAAGTACCACTACCCTTATCACTGGACACACACTTGCTTTTATTATTTGCCTGTAGTGCTTTCATGTATTTAATACAGATTTTACAAAGATTTATATGCATCAGCTTTAAAATTTACTCCTTTTCTGTCAAATTGTCTCCTCTCCGTTTAGGAATTTTACATGTGAATGTAGCAACAACCAGTGTTTTTTTTTTTAAGAACAGGCTCTGACCAAAGTTAACAGGCTTTTTATTTTGCTAGAACAAACTATCTTATGTTTACGTACAGGTTTACATTGTTATTTATGTGCAAAAATGTCAAAATGTAAATTAAATATAAAATGTTCATTGCTTTACCAATGACTCTCATCAGTTTCTTAGATAAGCGCTGATCCTTCATTTCTACTTTTCAATCATTCTCCAATTCAAAAGTGTACAATCTATGACAAAATTCTGAATAATACATACAGTATCATCCCAGAGAGGGGCCATGTTGCTCTTATTCTGTAAAAAAATTACTGATAGAATGCCATTTCTACATGTCCTATAATTTCTCAGAAAACCCAGTTCTGCATTCCTTTAGCTGTAGCCGAACACGCAGGTACATGGCTACTAAAAATCTGCTAATTCCACAGGGGTCATGTACTATGACAAGGTTATATGTAGGAATTAAATCTTTAAAATATCACCACCAAAACATTCCTTTGTTTTAGATGTATACATTACTATCAATTTGGAATACTATTATCATCCAGAAAAGCTAGGCCCAGTTGTTTTAGATAATTTACAAATGGGATAGGTACCCAAAAGTTTCAGTGTGGCCTGCTCACATTCAGAGTTCAAGCATCAGCCATTTCCCTTTTCCAGGATCCTTCATTCCATGCTCCCTTTTCCATCAATTTTTCCACTTTAAATATTTTTGTATTTTTGGGACACACTATCCCCCGCCCCAAAGCCTGCTGATAATTTCCCTGTTACGCAGGGTTGGTGCAATATATAAAATGGTCAAAATTCCCATTGCTCCAACCTTCTTGCTTTGTAAAACTTATGGCATTCCCCATTAAAATTGGACAACCATCTGTCAGATCTACTTTGATTTGGATTCCTGCATTGACAAGGGGTTGGACTCCATGGCCTTATAGGCGCCTTCCGACTCTGTGACTGTGACGCCTTGTGCTGCAGGGCTGCCTACTAGCAGCACACTGCCATCACTGTCTTCATTGGAGCTGCAGGATACAGTCTTCATAAAGAAAGATGTATTTCTTCCCAACAAAATTTTTAATACCTCATGTATTTATTATGCCGTATTGAGTTCCCTAGGTTTTCAACAAACTATCCTCCCTATGAATGCTATGCTTTTATTTTAGGAGCACATTTGGAAGATGTTACATACCTAAATTTTTCTCTCTTTGAACTACAGCTTAGGTTCTGCCTGAACTGTAATGACCACATTTTCTGCATGCCAGACAGCTCCTGGTACATTTTAAGAAGCTAGATGTGACTATACAATGAGTCTACAGGAGTAACAAAACATTCCTACCTCCCTTTTTGTCTGTGCACCAGCCACAACTGAGTAATAAACGGGACTTTTCCCACAAAGCTAATTCCACATTTGTTGTTTCTATCATCTTAACAGCAGATCTAAAACAGGACAGGCCATGTGGCATCCTCTTCGATGTTGAATTGCTAAAAAAATAATGTTACTTTTCATATTGAGACTCACAACTCTGTATATGATGCTTTTAAAGTGTTTCTCTGTCCTTTTACATTCATTTAAACATCTGTCTCAAGAACTTGAAAAACTGCCAGCACCGAACTGTGGAGTTAAGAAAACCAGAGCACTTTTGTCATAAATGTGCCAAATGGTGCAGGTTATAGTCTTATATTCTACAGAGTGCTGATTTTAAAACACATACGCACACATACGTGCACACACAGACACCTTAGATTAACCATTACTGTCATAAATCATCGTTCTTCACTTGGCAGGGAAAGACTTTTCTGCTGAAGAATTATGTTCTAATGTCACCTGTAAGCTTTAAAAGATTTTTTTTGTAAAACACATTATAGTCAGAAGGCCGTGCATGTTGTATGCAGCAATCTCATCAGGCTGCAATAGACCAGCAGCTGTTATTTTTGTTATTTAGGCAAAACTGAACAAAGTCCTCCTGAAAGCAGTGACAAACCAACTGGGGTTCAATCACTGATCAGGTGATTAGATAAAGAAACACATGTTAGGAACACAAGTTAACAACTACTACCCAAGAAATAGAAGCATAGACATTATTTTTATTGTCTCTTGACACACCTAAAAGGTTCCATACTTCTCTCAGAAGAAAGGTTCCCTTACCAAGCTATCAATGCACAGGCATGTTGGTTTTATACATGCGCACTCTTGCTGTGCCAGTTTTAGAAGGAGGAATCTATACAGAGGGTGCTAATGAGGGGAAAGCCCACTAAGAATCTGTGGTTTCCACCAGCATGAACCCCAGCTGCTAGAAAGAAGCTGCAAGCACTGGGTGACCACAAGTCCTCTTTTAGGGAGGACATTCCTCCATTTGAAAGTGTCATCTATTTTTGAAGGAAAGTCTAACTTATGGATGAAACACCGCAGGGTAAGGAGCCTTGAAGTGGCCCATCAACATCATGGCAAAAAGATTGCAGACAGCAATACACAGGCCACAAATGAGAGGCATTGTAGTTCTATTTAAATTAGAAAAAAATCATGCCCAGATTTGCATTGCTATTTATAAACTAGCATATGCAGTTTTATGTAAAGCTGTGTCTCCTTTTGCTGGAGGAAGGTGGCACACCAAAATGTAGGTGGGAAGAAGGCACACCTAGACTAGGAGAAGCTCCCTCCCATTCCTGCTTGTGAAGGAAAGCACTAGGGAGCTGGACAAAACAAAAGACATGTGTTTTTTCTCTGCTAAAATAATTTCAGACAGGCCTATGGTAGAGGATGTTTGTGTGAGGAGGTGTGTCTCAGGCAATGGGTTATATCTATAATAGGGAGCATTTGAGAGCAGAGTGGGAACACAGGAACAAGTGGCGGTAGCCATTCTCCTCTTCATAGAATGAGATCC